TTGGTTTGGTGTATGTTGGATACAATGGTCTTCCTTAAGCCTAAACACAGAAACAAAAGCATGTATTATAAGAGAAAGTTCAAGATGGGAAGTGATAAAATGGGTATTGAGTAGAGCTTTGTTAAAACTTAGCTGGTATGCTTGTAAAATTTCCATGTATTCATTAAATTATATTATGTCATTCTTATTGTTAGGAGCTGACTTGAAGTGTTGAGTTTTGCCTTCGTGAGTTGTTACAGTTTGGTTATTGTATTTGGGAGGTTGAGATTTTTTTCACTCTTTTAACACAGATATTTATGTAGATATTAAGGTTGTACAGTGAGTAGAGTTAGTATTTTATATTTATTGGGGCACATCTTATTTCATTTGTAATTAAATTAAGGTCATTTAATTGCTGTAGTAGTTACAAATTTAAAAATAAAATAGTATTCTTAATGCTGGCTGTGCTGTTTATACTTCAGATCTTTAAAACACTCTTTGCTTTGTGGTGCTGAAAGATGGGTTTATCAAATCTTTATTTAACATGCATAGGTATGTTTAATTCTCAGGGAAAAAAACCTAGAACTACAAAACAAAGTGGGATGATTCATTTTGTCTTTCAACTATACAAGGTGACCCGAAAGTTTCAGTGCATTTTTATATAAAAAATACTATTTGAGAACTTTTATACTTACTTAGTTCTGTGAATTTTGAATAATACATTTAAAATTTTTTTTCTTACTTTAGTTTCCCTAAATTGGCAAATACCAATTAAAAAATTAAAAATATACAACTCAAAATTACTTAGAGGTTTTACTTGGGTTGAAGATCATTCTCTAAATCACCTTGTGAAATTACCTACCTTGGAATTCTAGGCACATACATAGAATTGCCTCAAAAGCCTCCACACGTACTATTAGAATATTATTGTTACAGCGCATGAGAAATGCAGGTTCGAAGCGAAAGATGCCTGAGGTTTGGGGATTTCCATGCTTGTTGAGGCCAACTCATCTTTTAGGAAATGAGGTCTGACTAACTCTTCGTCTGGAATTGTTCTTAGTAATTATACAATGTGAAAAAAATGAATAAACTTTCACAAAAATTAGCATCAGTTTTAGTGAGATTTATTCCTGATAGCCTCACTTTGTCTTGTGCTGCTGTTTTTACTCACACAAAAAATCAAGTTCATTGTAAATGCAAGGAAGGGTTTGGTTGAGCACAATAGCCTATAAGCTGCTTGCTGTTTAGATAACATCAAGGCTGTGGCATGCACCGCGGAACTGGGACTTCAGCGTGCTAGCTGGATAGGACTTACTCAAGCAGTAGGAGCTCTGCAGTGGCAGTCAGATGGTAGGGGACAGAGCTTCTGAAAACCCATTTGAAATTGGTGAATTAAAAAACCCTAAATTTTAATGTCTTAAATCATTTTGAAAGCAGCTCAAAAAGAACCAAAACAAGTATGTGGCAGAAAATTCTCATTTGAATGGATTTTTATGCTTAGTTTTATTTTATTTTTATTGTTAAGAGTTGGCTTTTGAAAGCTCTGCTAATATCAGCTTTTGAAAGGAATGATGATATAGTGTTATTGGTAAGAAAATTTTATTTGTTGTTTGTGATCTAGGAATTGACTTGATTAAAAAACACATGCACTCAAGCAAACCACTGAAGTTACACTTCTGTAAGTTAAATGGATTTTACAAATTTGATATTAATGCTTCAAATGTCTAATTGGATAAATGATAGAATACTATTTAATATGTATTTTCATCTTGATAAGCAATGTATTTTGAAATATGTTTATATAGATTTTTATCTTCATGATGTCAGAAATGTTAAGAGCTTTTTACTTACGTACATGTTTTTAACATTTAAATATTCATTTACAGTATGTATATGTTTTAAATGTGAGCTGTTGCAGTTGTTTCATTGGGTTTTACTGAAAGTTTATGTGAAAGGTGAATTCTTAGTAATTTCCTATGAAGTATAATATATTTAAAGAGAATAATAATTGGTGACTTTTAGAGCAACTTTTAATTTGAATTATTTAAATCATTTTTAATATTTCAGCTTTGGTAAAATTTAGTAAAACTTAAGAATTTTACCTTAAAAAGTAAGCTCAAGTTTTGAGAAATAACCCTTGTAAAAAGAGTAATGATATAATATGATCAAGAATTGTTTAGAGAAGTATGAAAATAGATTGTTATAGGCAGTGTACCATGTGTAGTATCTCATTTAAAATTAACAGGAGTATTTTTTGCTGTGGTCAGTTTTTAAGTGTAGAAGATGAGATGAAAATATAGTTATCTCGGACTAATGTGAACTCTATCTATCAAGAGATATTTGGGGAGAAGTTTTTAAATAGTTACGAGTATATGGAATGAAAGAAAACATTACATTTTAATGGTAATTCTTTTTCTAAAATTATAAAAAGAATGTTTATCTACAGATATATTCTGCATTGAAAAATTAGGATTTACAAAAATGGGGAAGTACATCTATATTTCTAGGTAGTGGATAAAAGACAAGAGTGAAGAAGAGTTAGATTCTAAACCCAGAAGTAAGAGTTTATAGATAATACCCGGTACGTAATAGGTTGTCAGTGGATTTGGGACTCAGGCAGAGTCCTCAAGATTTATAGCCCTTGGTGCTAGGCCCAGGACTATTCTCTGAAAATTTTCTTCTATCTGAGAACTTCAGATGGGTGGCTATTTCATTTATTTTAAAAAAACTTTCTATTGTGGATAGTTTATACATATTAAAGAGTAGAAAGATTAGTATAATGAACTCTCATGGACCCATCACTCAGCTTTTAACTCAGCTTTAGCAGTTATCAACTCATGGCCATCCCCTAATGGATAAAGAGATTAAAAATTTTTTTTCTTTTAGTTTTTTATTTGGAAGTAAGTTCAAACTTGCAGAAAAGTAGGTATGTTTGTGTAAAGTTGTTCATTAGGTTCCTTGATTATCCTTCTGATATCTGCATAGGCTCTCTTATTCCTGATATTAGTAATTTGTGCCCCCTACCCCTTGTCTTTGAGTTTATCTAGAAATGATCAATTTATTGATGTCAGAGAACTAGCTTTTGGTTTCATTGCTTTTTCTTCGTTTTCCTGGTTTTTAAATTTTATTTATTTCTTCTCTGAATTTAAGTATTTCCCTTAAGTGTTTGCTCTGGGTATAATTTGGTCTTTTTCTGCTTTCTTAAGAACCTTACTTAAAAAAAAAAAGAACCTTTTAGGAGTATACTTTGATTTATTTATTTTTCCTATCTGAGAACTACTTTTGACATTTCTTTTTTACAGTGTAGTTTTGCTGCTGATGAATTTTTTTTCCATCTTTATATCTGAAAAAGCCTTTTATTTCACCTTTGATTTTAGGAGATATTTTTGCTGGGTATAGAATTCTCAGAATAGGTTCTTCTTAGTACTTCAAAGATGTTGCCTCAGTGTCTTTTTACCTGCATTCTTTTTAGCAAGATATTTAATGTCATTTTAAAAATCTTACTTTGTATGTGACGTGTCTTTTTTCTCTGCCTCCATATATATTTTTTTTTTCTTTTTTTCATCACAGATTTTGAGCAGTTTGATATACCTTGGTGTAATTTCTTAATGTTTCTTCGTTTGGTGTTAGTGGGACTTCTTGGATCTGTGGGTTCATAGTGTTTTGTCTTCAAGAAATTTTAGGGCCATTATGTAATTACATATTTTTTGCCCCTCCTGTCTTACATGTGTGCATGTCAGGCTACCTGAGGCTGTCTCACAGTTCACTGATGCTGTTATGTTTGTTTTTTTACCCGCTATTCTTTTTTTCCTCTCCATTTAAAAATTTTTGGATATTTCTGTTACTGTGTCTTCGAGTTCATTGATTTTTTTTCCCCTGTAATGTCTAATCTTCTGTTAATCCCATCTAGTATATTTTTCATCTTAGACCCTGTATTTTTTATTTTATGTTCGAGTAGGTTCTTCTTTATATCTTTCATGTCTCTGCTTCACATGTTCAGTCTTCCTCTTGCTTTTTGAACATATGGACTATAGTTACAACAGGTTTTTTAATTGAAGTAATAGTTTACAATGTGTAATTTCTGGTATATGGCATAGTGGTTCAGTTATACATATATATTCCTTTTCATATTCCTTTTCATTATAGGCTATTATAAGTTATTGAATATAGTTCTCTGTGCTATACAGTAGGCCCTTATTGTTTATCTATTACAACAGTTGTTTTAATGTTCTTGTCTAACAATTGTTACCTCTGTCAGTTCTACATCCTTTTCTGTCCATTGATTTTTCTCATGGTGGGTTGTATTTTCTTGCTTCTTTGTATGTCTGTTAAGTTTTAATTGGATGTCAGACAGTGTAACTAGATATTTGGTATTCCTATAACTCTCTTTGAACCATCTCCTGCAAAGCAGTTAAGTTACTTGGAAACAACTTTATTCTTTCAAGTCTTAAAAGCTTTGCTAGGCAGGGCCAGAATGGCTTTTGGTTTAGGGCTAATTTGAACCCACTACTGAAGCAAGACCCTCTGAGTACTCCCCCTGATTCCATGCAGCTCATGAAGTTTACCACTGTGGTTGGTGGAAACAGGCACTCTTCCCAGCTCCGTGTGAGCCTATTGCATTTTTCTCCTAATCTTTTTGGTGGCTTTCCCCCTGGTCTTGGTAGTTTCATCACACACAAGTGCTAATCAGTAATTCAGCAGGAGACTTGAGAAGGGACCACCATGCAGATTTTCAGTGTTCCTTCTCTGTACAGATCTCTCCTCTGGTGATGTGCCCTGCGAACCAAGTCACTTTGGTGCCTCCCCACACTCCCAGCTTCAACTCACGAGGCTGCTGGGCTCCCCCTGGGTTCCCTGTCCTACATTTTTTTTTAATCCTGTAAATTATTCAGTTTGTGAGCTGGGACAATTTTAGAGCTCACCTAGATGCTTCCCATTCCTGTATCAGTTTCTTTCACTGTCTGACATCCAGTTCCTTGAAGACTACAGTTTTATATATTTTATCCATTTTGTTGTTTTAGGCAGGAAGGCCAGGCTGGTCCGTGTTTTTCCGTCTCAGTTGGAAGCAGAAGTCTCTACATTTAAGAATTTGAGGTACTTCCTCCTCTCAAGAAACGTATTTTAGATAATGGTGGGAACTGGGGATCAGAATTACATGTTTTGGTTATTAAAATGGCTCTGATGAATCCTGAGTGATGATCCTTAGATTCAGTCCAGAGCTTAATGAAGAACCACAGCTTAAAGGTTAAGATCCCCAGACTGGGTTCTTTAGTGGGGACAGTGTCAGGGCAGAGTTCCTTTGCCTTATTACCCTTTGGAGGTAGGCATGTGCACATTTGAAACCTTGCAGAATTGGACTATACCTTACAGGTTCAGGCAACAGCTGATCTTTTCTACAGGGAAAGAAGTTGGACTTGCTTATTCTCCCCATAGTTCATAGCAAGGTGAATAGCCCTTGGGAATAACTGCCACCTTGAGTTGCATTGATTTGATGGAACAGTCTTGCAGTGGTGCAGTGACTCTAGTTTTGTGCTTCTCAGGGCTGTAACACTACCCTAGACTGAGAAGAAGTTGTTGCTAAATTGCCTAAAAGGTTTTGTTTGATAATATGACTTGTTTTCCTCTGAGAAACAAGATACCCCTGAGGCTTCTTTTCCAAGATGACACCAAGTCAAGTATGTTTTGTGTGTGTGTGTGTTTATGTTAGTAATCAAACTCTGGCATTTTCTTTTTGTAGAAAGCCCTGACCCTACCTAGCCCTGACCCCACCTCCTGAGCTACCAGAAAGTGGAGAAACTTTGGGTGCCCAGGTAGGAGGCATCAGTATTTTTTATTGGTCATTTTGTTGATGACATAGCCAAGAGATTTCAGTAGTCTTATGGGGGATTAGTTTGAAAGCCTGCAGTTGGTTTTTACTTGCTGTTAATTCATATCATGTAAACGTTACATAGCTATTGCTGTCTTAGCACAAATTCTTTATTCGGTCATTCATTCAGCAAGAATTTTTTGAGTGCTTACCATGTGTCAGGCCTGTGATATACACTGGACAGATGAGTAGTGATATTTCAACTGGAATTAGGAAGGTTATTCCCACTGTGTTCTGCAGCGGTCAGCCTCGTCTAAAGCAGTGGCTCTCAAACTCTTTGGGCTCAGGGCTCAGACCCTTTTACATTTTTGAAAATTATTGTGAACTCTAAGGAGCTTTTGTTTATGTGGGTTATATCTATTATTGCCACATTAGTTACAGATATTTAAGAGTATTAATTTAATAGAACAGTAATCGACCATTACACGTTAAGTAACATTTTCCCCCAAAACATGTATTTTCCAAAAGCCAAAAAAAAGAAAAACTGGCATTGTTTTACATTTTTCAACTCGAATGGGTGGCTGAGTGTCTAATATTTGAATTTACTCTCTTTTTTAGTGCAGGAGAAAATTTTTGTCAGTAAGTTTTCTCCTAGATAAACATCATAGTCCAAAACAGTAAGATTGTTTAGTGGACTTGGATCAGAATGGGACAGTCAATTGAGTGGTTTCCAGTAGGGGTACACCTGCTGTAGGGATTGACAGTTGGCCAGGGATTGTCATTCATGTGTGAAGTGCTCAGTAGATGAGTCTGGGGGAGTGAAAAAGGAAGATTCTGGCTATGGTAGTTTCTCTTAGAATTTAAATTGCTTTATAGCAAAGCTAGTGCCAGTATAAATTAATTAATGAAATATGCCAAGTTTTGTGGTTGGAAGTCATGCAGGTTCAGGAACTGGCACGGCATTGAAAACGTCATGGGACTCAGCAAACACTTCAGTAACTGCTTAAGATACCAGTTAAACTTGTATCAAAACAAGATTTCTGATAGCATGAAGTTATATGTATAGTTTACTAAGACACAAAATAATGTCCTAATATTTGTTCCTTTCTTCCCTCAGTTATCTTCAGTTGTTCTGAAGCACAAGACCTTTCCAACCACTGTAGATATGGACAAAGAAGAAAGGAGGACTATCAATCAGGGTCATGAAGATGAAATGGTAACCAGCTTTTATAATTTACTTGTAAATTGTGAAGAGTTTGTTTTTCTAGGGAGGTAGAAAACTACATTAAAAAAACTGCTAAAATAGATATAGTGAAACAACGACTAAATCAATCTTCATTCTGACTTGTGTTTTTTGAACTGGGGTTACGTAACATCTCTGGTTCTAGTTTATTTCCTGTTTCACTTGTGAATGCTTAAAACTTACAGGAAAGAGGTATGTTGTTCCATTTAATAATTTAAGAAGTTACGTTAGCAAATACTTAACTATAATCTCAAATGCAAACCTTCTAATTTTGATTTATTAAAAAATTTAAAATCAGCTTAATAAAAATTCACCTCTTTTTTTGTGGTGTGTGTGTGTGGAAAGATAGGATTGTCACTTTGGAATTTACCTCCTATCATTTGAAATTTAATTGTGTGATTGCCTTGTCCTGAAGGAGATCCATGGCTATAATTTGTGTCGCTGGAAGCTTGCCGTCGTCTCTGTCGGAGTGGTGTGTACTGGGGGCTTTCTTCTCCTGCTCCTCTACTGGATGCCCGAATGGCGGGTGAAGGCGACCTGTGTTAGAGCTGCAGTTAAAGACTGTGAAGTGGTGCTGCTGAGGACTACTGTAAGTCCATGTCTTTACCTGTAGCTAATGATTTGAGGAGTAAGATAATGTCTTTGTGTGTATTTTGTTCAAAATAAAATATGAGGAGAACATCACTGCTAGGATATAATGAGGAATACTAATCCTGGTATTTTTAAAGCATCTGTGTTTGAAGTGAATATTATCCCAGTGGGTAGAGTTTAAGGGAATCTTAAAGACGATCAAATCTACCCTCTTCTCTAGCTCTTGATGCACTGAGAGGTTAGATGGATGGCTGTTCTGTCCAGGTCACCTGGACAGGACTGTATCCCAGATCTCTTCTACTGTGTAGTGCTGCTGCACCCCAGGTTCTTAGAAGAAATCCTGATTGGAAGCATTTTATAAGAGGCTCTAATATCTAGTCTTAGTATATCGATGGGTAAATTACGAAGTTACTCACAATCTTCTTAGATACTCTGTTGGTGAAGTGTAACATATAAAATGGGCAATCCAAAGCATTTGATGTTTGAATTTATGCATCTTCATGGAATGGTTTAACATTTAGTGAATTGGAAGTGATACTTTCTCAATTAAAGATAAGTAAATACCATGTAAAGAAAGGAAATAAATATATATATTTATATAATATGCATAATTGACTCTTTACCATTTTCTCTTTTAAGGATGAATTCAGAACATGGTTTTGTGCAAAAATTCGCTTTCTTTCTGTGGAAACTCACCCATTTTCAAGTCCACAGTCTGTGGCTAATAAGATTTCAAGTGGCCATGTGGTTCACTTACCTGAAAATCTGGCTGAAGAGAATAAAGTTGAGATGAGTAAATATTCACAGACTCAGTCACAACAGGTATTGTGACCTTAGTCTCAAAGTTTCTTTAAAAACAAGAATTATTACATTTTATGCTATTACGGATAGTCTGTAATTTTGTACTTACAGTTATTTTTGTTTGAGATAAAATTCTGTGCATATAAAATGCCTATTTGTCATTGTATATAACACAGCTTAGTTATTTACTGTGAGAAGCAGATTACATGTCATGTGTATTTGCTTACATTTTAAATAATTGTTATCCCATATGCTAAATTTGTCTTAGTAAACTTAATTGTTAGCAAGTGATGATAATGCACTTTGATGTAACATGTATGTATGTTCTACAGATTCGTTATTTCACTCACCACAGTGTAAAATACTTCTGGAATGACACCCTTCACAACTTTGATTTCTTAAGGTAAGTATTTTTCTCTTGTTTGGATTATATTATGAGTATCTTGAAAATATTCTAGATAGAAAAGAATTCATTTTTAGTGTCACATAAAATTGAAGAGGTTTTTATTACGTAACTTGTATTCATTTATTCATTAATAATTGTCTGGTATTGTTTGAATACTCTAACCACTTTAGAGTAAGTCCTGTCTGTAACTTGTACCTTGACAAAATTGACGTAAAAGTTAGAAGCAGTATGCTCCCCAAATCCAGCTTGAGTTTGAGTTCTTTTCTTTTTGAGGATTCATCTCAGAGTGAATTTTGAGCATACCTTTAGCCTGTCAGTGTTTGAATTAGCACCTTTCAATTTGCTGACAGTTCCATGCACTTGTACTTGAGGGATGGAGTAATAAACAAACATAAACTTAACTTTAATATATGAATAAAGATAGGACATTGTCAAATGTGTTAAGCCTTGGGTAAGACAAATTGGAATAATCCCTTAAAATTTATTTTTTGTGGAGGCTTCAAGTTATATAAGTACTAAGTTAACTAGGATTCTATTTTTATTGCTGTTGTTAAAGTGATGATTATAAACACTTGTGAAGTATCATTGCTTGAGAGTGCCAAAGGAATTCTTAATATTAGCGATAAAAAAAGAATCGCCTTATGAACATTTAACAAACACTGCCAATGAGCTGTCGTTTTTGTTTTTAAAAAAATTTGACTTGGAGCTGATCCCTGCTGCCTTTGGAGAAGTAACGTCAGTAGGGGAAAAAAAGTCAAACATAATTTGCTATGTAGCCTTTGCCAACCATACCAACTTGTAGAGTTTAAACTTATCCCAGTGTTAGCGGTTAATTATGGAACTTAATGTTTCTCTCTGAAAGAAGTAGAAAAGGATTGGAGTTAAATGATTCTTTTCAGAGTTTTATGAATAATATCTCAGTTAGAATAAGCATAATTAAAACATTTGGGGGAAAAGTAGATATGTGAGTTGAACCCCTGTTTGAATTGTTCCAGATTTCTGACGTTGCCTGTGACTCACACAGATTCTGCACTTCTATCCTGAGTATGTGTTAGAGGAGGGAAGGATTTAGATTGATGCTTTTGTGGAAAGAAAAATAAATGAGGAGGATTTCTTAGTGTAAAGCTTAACATTTTTTTAGGTGGATAAAAAGTAAAAATTTTTTCATCAATAGTTTGGAGTTCTCAAGTTAGCCATAACTTTAATATTATTAGCTTTTACAGCATAGGCACAGACTTAAAGGATAATAATACTATTATATAAACTTGAGTATTGTGAGCCATCTTATTATATGATAGATACATTGGTTAACTTAGGCGTTGCCACATTTGAGACTAAGACCTTTCATTGCTGTTTATCTTAGGATATTTGAGATTTAAAAATTCTCATCCATTATCTCAATTTTTGTTAGGGGCTTCTGTTTGTAAGGAAGTCACACTTTAAAATCAGGAATATAGAAAAATGAGGCATTAAGAAATTTGGATATTTTAAACTTTGTTTAAAGTAAAAACTTTGGATTTATTTAGGGGACTGGATGGAGGTGTTTCTTGTACGTCAATTTATGAAAAGCATAGTGCAGGACTGACAAAGGGGATGCATGCCTACAGGTAATTTTTATCCGACTCAAGTTAGATGTATTATCAAAATTCCTAAATAAAGTAGTATATACAGCCTACCCTTTTACCATATAGTTGTAGTATTAACAGGTGTTTAAATATTATAACATAGTTGTTAACAACTTGTCGATATTTTGTTTGGGTAAGACCATCTCTCAGTTTAAGAATTGTAAAAATGTTGACGCTGATTTTGAAGTGGATATCCCTGAAAATATACTGTATTTCATCAATTCTAAGGTACACACTTTCCTGCATTTTAATGTCTTTAAAAGGAGACTGTGCCATACAGTGGGTGGAGTGTCATCCTTTACTTGACAGTGTTTTTAATCTTTCTCGATAGTACATAAAATCATGGTATGTCTTAACAATTGATAGAATCTTAGATTAACTGAAATATTGAGAATTGTAAACACGAGCTCAAATTTACCACAATGAAAATTTGTAAGTTGGGAGACACAGCCATTTTTATAGTGTTGTTATTTGCTGAAGTATAAAAGTATACTAGTGTATTACATATTGTAAAGATAAATACCATTTTCGAATTAAATTAGGAATTTTCTTGTACTCCTATAGCATGTTCTTTCAAAGGGTTGAAATATGAATTCATTCAGGCTTCTAATTCATGAAAGGCAAGAATTATTTTGTCATATAGAAAGCACTATTGTAACATAAGGGATTTAAACAGAAGGATTTAAGCAACTTTTTAAAAGCAGTTTTTAAAAAAGCCAAATGTGTAATGTTACATTTTTAGTACAATATTTTTATTAGAAAATAGTGTAGGATCCCTCAAATTTACTTAATGTATTCTCTTGCAAAAATAAATTGCAGTTCAAAATTGTTGAGATATATTGTATTCATGGATAGTAAAGAAAGTCTTTTGCTGACATGGTTATTATGGACTAGTGGGAAAGGTACTTCTCACACAAAAAGATAAAATGGAACCCGTATAGTTAGTTATCCAGTATTGACTATGTTGATTTAAATACTGTAGTTAGAGAATTTAAATTGTAGAAGACAACTGTTTAGAAACGTGAATGTTTAAGTTCCAAATTTAAGGAGCAGTCGGTTTGAGCTTCATCTAATGCAATGCCCTCCCTAAATTGTGCTATTATGATACAATATAATGTAATATTCTTACTATATTTTCCTGTTATAGAAAATTGCTTTATGGAGTAAATGAAATTGCTGTGAAAGTGCCTTCAGCTTTTAAGCTTCTAATTAAGGAGGTAAGACAATTGTATTTGTCTCAACATTTGTGATCAGTAGGTTTGTCAACTGAAAAGGGCCAACATTTAAGTAATAAGAAGATATTCTTGGTTTTTTGCTTCCTAACTTCTCTTTGCTTATTTTTTTACTTCGAAGGTCAGAAAGATATTTCTCTGGTAGATCAATAATTCACGGCATGGTTATTGTTTTAATGTTTTTGCTTTTCTTGTCTGTAGATTTTTTTTTTTTACTCAGAAAGTTGTACACCTAAAACTCGCCCTATTTTACAGATGTATACACCTGTCTTTTCTTTTCCCCTCCTAATTTAAAAAAACAATTTATCATGTTTTTTTCATGCGGGACACTGTTGGGAACTAGGCATCATGCCAGAAGTTTGGAACGAAAAACGTTGCGTGATAAGGACGTAGAGGAACTTGCGTTTAAGCCCGAGAGCAATGCATGTTGGTAGTTTTACTGTAGTGACTGTTCAGTTGTAAGAGCCGTGGAAGAGGTGTGAATAAAGGATTGTGAAGGCTCTCCAGCCTTCCCTCTGATTTTGGGCTAAAGATTAATAATTAGCTGTGTTGGGTGAATACTTTTAGTAGAAGTTACTGATTGTTTTCCATCAGTTTCTGAGAGTGGCCATATAATGCTGCTTTAGAGCATAGCAAAGTGTAATGGTTAGGAACTAGAAAGACTGGTTTGTAATGTGACTCCATCAGTAACTAGCTTTGATCATTTGAAGACCTTTCTCCCTGCTGCTCCTTTCTTGGAAAAACTGGAGTCAGTCCTTTCTAATGATCTCATTTGATTTTTAAGTAAAATGGGACTATATATGTAAAAGTGCTTTGAAAAGTACAGAAGCATCAGTTTTAAAACTTTGGGGGGTTATTAATAAATTGATAAAATACTATGAAATTTGAGTAAACAAAGTCCATTTTCAGGACTTCCTTTTTTTTTCATTCAGGTTTTAACCCTTAATTATTTCCTTAGAGAAAGCAAAACAGTATAACTTACCTCATGTTTGTCTTCTCTTTGGACTCTAGTGAACCTTTGACTTACAGGTAAATTAGTGTTCCAGTTCATAATAAGTAAACATCTGTTCCATTTGGTTAAAAGTTTTGTATCGTTTAGCAGCACATTAACTATTGGAAATAAGTGTATTTTATTGCTAAAGCAGAATGAAGAACAACTAAATTTACACTCTTTAGCTGTTTCTAGCTGAATGTGTATTTGGGTTTGGTATGAATCTAAATGGATGCAAGTAATTTAAATTAAGCTTATTTGTTTTATTTTTTTTAAAGGTAATGTCTTGTCCTACTTTTTGAGTAGTTACATGTTGCCCTAGCACACTGTAGAGCTTATCCTGTGGTATCTTGTTGGTTATTTCTTAAATCTGTATGGTAATACATATTTCTTTCAATTTGACTAAAAAATCTTGTTTTTTAGGTTCTCAACCCATTTTACATCTTCCAGCTGTTCAGTGTTATACTCTGGTGCACTGATGAATACTATTACTACGCTGTAGCCATTGTGATTATGTCTTTGGTATCAATTATAAGCTCGCTGTATACCATTAGAAAGGTAAGTCTCATTTATTATGGGTTTCACAACTATATTTGTATTTTTTAATAACATGTACGATGCATAGAATGCTCCTTGATATAAAGTAAGTACGCAATACAGTTATTCTTCTAGTTATGTGAGAACGTACTCCCTTTCCCTCCTTTTTTGAAGTGGGGAAAGGCAGATGCTTTTTAAAGTCAGAGTGTCACTTGATGGCTTCAACGCTGAAGGGATCTATAATTGCTTCTCTTAGACTGGAACACTGGAGGGCTGATTCTGCTGTTTTCAGGGCTTGTCTCATTAACGTGCTTCTTATTTTATCTTGAGCTAAAACACTGAATAATCTTTGAATTTTTTGGTCTTGACATTTTTAAGGGCAGAGTAATACTCATTTATTATATTAGCTTTCCTTATTTTATATTACCCTTGCTTTGTAATATCTTGAAGAGTGGGTTTATGTTAACTAGTTAAAATTTTTTCTTTCCTGATTCAGCAATATATTATGTTGCATGACATGGTGGCAGCTCACAGTACTGTGAGAGTTTCAGTTTGCAGAAGTGAAGGTAAGTACTTCAGATTGCTGTTGGAAAAATAAACCAAAAAAGATGTCTACTAAACACTAATGTGTAAGCAAGCCCAGTGTATGATACATATTCACTCATTTCCATAAGAAATAAAAATGTGTTTAGGTTTGAAATCATATCTCTATATCAAATTCATTCACTTCTGTCAAATTGTATATTTATATAATGTGATAGGTACTACACTAGGCTCTTGAGATGCAGTGGTTAACCAAGATGGACATAGGCCTTGCTGGCACTGAACTGCAGTCTAGTTGGAAAGACAGATGGTGAACAGACACAATGAAGTGTGATAAAAGCTATGATAGGGAGAGGTCAGGGAACTTAGAGAGAGCTGATTTACTGTAGGTGTCAGGGATGGCTTCTTTGAGAAAGTATTTTTAAGTGGTTGAGTTAGCCAGGTAAAAGGTAGGTGACAAGGTGGTAAGGTCGGGGTGAGAGAGGGAGAGAAGAGGGTTTTAAGTGCTCAGAGGCCTAGAAATTAGAGAGTTTGGTCATTGTAATAACTGAAAGAAATTCAGGGTGGCAGATGCAGCAGCTAGATGGTGGACAGCCTTCTAAGGCCTGTTCAGGAATTTGGACTCCCCCAGGTGCAGTGGAAAGCCATTGAGGGGTTTTAGCAGGAGAGTGATAGGATCATACTTGCCTATTTGAAAAAAATCATTCTGGCTGCCATGTTCAGACTGGTTTAGAAGAGAGTAACATTGAAGACATGAAATGGATCAAGGTGAGGGTTGTAGAGATGGAGAGTAGTGAGATGGGTTTGAAAGATACTTAAATGTGGGCATTGTAAAAGATTTGATGATTCATTGGCTGCAAGGTGGTAAGAATGGAGTCAGGCTCAGGGGATGGGTGTTGGTGTCAATTAGATAGGGAACACTGGAGGAGAAGCAGGAGTGTAGGGAAGGATAATGTTTTGGACATGTTAGTTTGTCTGGTGAGGCAGTGAAGAGGTAAAAGGAGATTAAGGGGAAGCAGCACAGTGTCATGGTCCTTGGAGACAGTAGCCACTTTATCAAGAAAACCAAGTCATTCTGCATTCTTTTGGCTTAGTGTACTACATCCAAGTGTAAACCCAGTTTGGCCTTAGCAGGTTGCTTCCTTCCTTGTGCTTCTTGGTCACTTGCTACTTTAGCTGGGAACATCTGCCTCCCCTAGCTGCAGCCTTAGTGGTGCTCCTCCTCTCCCGACTCTGCCACTGCCAAAGGTCTTGGGAATGCTAGGACAGGTGCACTGGGCAGTGTGTCTTCCTTGCCCCTTTGCATAGTCCAGCCCTTCACTGATACTTAGTTTCTTGGTACACCTCGGAGGGTCAGAATTTCAAGTGGCGTTAAGGCAGTAAGAGCCAAGTTTTTAAAATCAGGGATCTCATTAAGAAATGAAGATTATTATACTTACTATGTGTTAAATAGCATTAGAATTCTTTAAGTTGTTTGCTCATAGCTTAGTAAACCACCTCTACCTTTTTTTTTTTTAAGAAAGAGTATTTGTCCTACAGGCTAACATCACAAACGGTAGTTTTCTCCTCACCCATCTTTGCTTACAAACTAGTGTCAGTCTCTCCTAAGCATAGTTTAATAAAATATGGGGCGGGGGTAGAATAAGAGAGAAAATGCCCAAATATAAGGTTACCTTTTATTTGGGAAGCTCTTTTAAAAAAGTATTTAACTAACTTGGATATAAAACATAAATTTCTAAGGAAATGATGAACTAGGTAAGAAATTAAAGTTCAGTTTATTTTATAAATTTGTTTTAAATAATATCTAAAATATTTTGGGACTATTTTAGGAATATTGAGAAGACAGTGAGACATTATGGGTAGCAACAAGAAAAAGAACGCTGGTAAAAAAGAGTTTCAATGCTCTTATCTGTTTGCATCGCATTATAGAAATCTGAGTTTATTTACCTATGGCAGGGCATCCCCTGTGTGGACTCACTGTTCGTTTACTCACAGAGCTGATAGCTGAGGCTGACATCCACCATTGTAATGAGTGTTGAAGCTCCCCACCTGTTAGGTTAGAGGGGACTTGGCATCACCGATGCGCAATTGGCATCCTCCCTAGGGACAAACTAGCTGACACACTTAAACACCATGCTTTGTTAGCTTAAGGAATAATACTCTTATTTGTCAAAATTTTTCATCTATTGAGATTTTCCTATTGAACTCCATCCTATTTTTAACATCTTATTGCAGTCAGGAGACCTTTGGACAGATCTTTGTTTGCTGTATTTTTATTCCAAATTAAAGGATATTCTTTTCAGACTTTTCTTTCTTCTTCTTTAATTCCAGAAATAGAAGAGATCTTTTCTACAGACCTTGTGCCGGGAGATGTCATGGTCATTCCATTAAATGGGACAGTCATGCCTTGTGATGCAGTACTTATTAATGGTACTTGCATTGTAAACGAAAGCATGTTAACAGGTAAGCTAAATTAAATGAGTAAAAACCAGATGAGTTATTTATAACAATATTAGGATTAAGTAGTTACTGACTAAGCTATGTCAAAATTTACTGCGCTGTTCATGTCCTTTACTCATGAATGTCATGAATGTGATAGATACTGGAGATTTTTTTTTTATTCTGAGTGAACCAAATTCTGCATTATACTCAACTGTGATACTAAAGCACAGTGCTGGTGTTCACTGCGTCTCTTGTCCTGCTTTGTCCTGCTTTTGTCCATTCTTTTGAAAATGAGGAAATGACTTATAGTAAGGGAAGATGAAAGAAATGCTTTGCCCGCAGAGAATTCAGCATATTTAATTCTCACTTTGATGTGCAAAAGTGGGAATAGAGAGTTGATATTTTTCTTAAATTGTGGGAAAATAGACTTTAAAATAACTTCCCTTTGGCAGTTCACAGTCTGGAGGTAGAGCTTTGTATCTTTTTATCACATAACTAATTTTTTATTGTCATAGTCAATCTGGCAAGAAAGTGATTCCTATATAATACATTTTTGAACTGTTAAGAGTCTGTCTTAAAACACACTCATTCACATAAATATCCCCACGCACCTGCTGCCTTTGACACAAGAAGTGTGAATGCTACAGAGCATTACATTTTAATGTTAAAAAGAATTTGGCTGTTGGTTACTGTTGGAGAGAATACTGTACTCCTGCCTTGCTCAGTTGCCTGTTCTCTTCCTACTCGTGTGTGTGTGTGTGTGTGTGTGTGTGTGTGTGTGTGTGTCTGTATGTGTGTGTCTGTGTGTGGCAGGGTGGGGGTGGTTAGGAGGAGGAGATCGTCATATGTTGTGTGTGCTTGGGGTTGCAGAATACTTCCCGAGTTAGTTCTGGAGGTACCAGAACAGGTGCTGGGGTGACAGCAACAGCCTCGTCTTTTTATTTGAAGCGTGATGCAATTATTTCCAAATGTTTACCTTTGAGTCACAGATCACTTCAGGAATTACCGTGGAAGACAAGATTTGATATTTCTGGGTAAGGAAATTGATAGACAAAAAGCTAATTGATTAGGCTTTGTCATTCACATGGGAGGACTCAACTATTGTCGATAGTATAATAACATTTAGGGTATTTAACAACTCAATATTTGTGTGTTTGATACTGATTTCTATGCTTTAATTTATGATTTTTTTTTTAAAGGAGAAAGTGTTCCAGTGACAAAGACTAATTTGCCAAATCCTTCAGTGGACATAAAAGGAATGGGAGATGAATTATATAATCCAGAAACACATAAAAGACACACTTTGTTTTGTGGGACAACTGTTATTCAAACTCGTTTCTACACTGGAGAACTTGTCAAAGCCATAGTAGTTAGAACAGGTAGAAAACATTTAATCTATTCTTGCATGGTTTAGTATGTTTGATGCCTATTAAATGTTTAAAAAGAGATTTTGGTTTGGGAGATAATCCTCATTTTCTTATAAAAATACTGTATAGTCATTTTCTTCTTTAATTTTTTTAAAAGGATTTAGTACTTCCAAAGGACAGCTCGTCCGCTCCATATTGTATCCCAAACCAACTGATTTTAAGCTCTACAGAGATGCCTACTTATTTCTACTATGTCTTGTGGCAGTGGCTGGCATTGGGTTTATCTACACTATTATCAATAGCATTTTAAATGAGGTATGTATGTGTGTGGGAGCCTTAATTATCACATGTGGCTGTTGAGGATTTGAAATGTGGCTAGTGAGATTGAAAAACTAAAATTTTAATTTAATTTAATTAATTTAACTGGGAAAAAAAGCCATATGAGACCTGTAGCTATTATATTAGAAAGTGCAGATATAGAATATCATTATAGCAGAAAGGTTTGATTGGCTCTGGTTTAGATGGTCTACGTGCTCTCTTGTGACTTAAAAAAAGGGAGGGGTGATCACATACCGAAGGCTTTCTTTTTTTCTTTTTTAAATCTCTGATGTATATGGCATTAAAATTATTTGTAGTTACTGAATTGGAGGTATTTCTAAGGGACCTTGTCAAATTTCTCTTTTCTGTCCCCTGTAGAGGCTGGCATAGTAGTTAAGAGTCAATATCTGACAAATGTTTGTTGAACTTTGAAGTGTGTAGTGTACGAAGTATGTAGGGCTATTAGAATAAGACTCTCTTTAAAAATAGCTCTCATTCCAGAGTCTGTTGACAATTCATTGAGCTTCCTATTTTGCAGAATCTCTAAAGGGAAAAAAATTACAAATGGTTAATAGATGTATATACATACACACTTATTATGTATGAAATTGAAAATGGCCTACAGATTTTCACTAAAGAAACACCCACATTAGATTAGTAAATATTTAATATTGGGGTCCTGACATTTATTTTTATGTTAATTTTAGGTGGAAGTTGGGGTGATAATTGTTGAGTCCCTCGATATCATTACAATCACCGTGCCGCCTGCACTTCCTGCTGCTATGACCGCAGGTATTGTGTATGCCCAAAGAAGACTGAAAAAAGTGGGTATTTTCTGCATCAGTCCCCAAAGGATAAACATTTGTGGACAGCTGAATCTTGTTTGCTTTGACAAGGTTGGTCCAGTTTAATCATCATTCTCAAAGGTCACTTTGTAGCTTTTAAATATTCAGGTTAATGGTTTCTGTATTCTTTATAGCTAACTTGCCCAGTTTTTTTTGAATATTTCTTTAATTTTCCTCTTTTTCAACTTATTTGGCACGTGTGTCTTTGTATATTTCTTCTCATTTTTTTCAATGTTTAATACTTTGTGTTTTATATATTTGCCCAAATCTACAGTTGACTGACCATTCGTATCCAACATTATGCCTTGCAGTGGTAGTAGTAGTAAAAGTTAGCTGCTCTTTCATGTTTTTAATAACAGAATAGGCTCCGTACAGGTTTTTACTGGAATGTTATTGCTATTAAGCATATACATTTTATGTTTGCTCTGTGACTTTACTGAATGTGTTTCAGATTGTGAAGGACGGTGATTATTTGATTTTATGTGAAAATGACAAGTTTTGTACCTGTATGACATGTACCTTGCCTCTTACAAAGGGGTCTCCTTTCCTCACCTGGAATTAGTTTTCCTCAAAGTTTAAAGAATTAAACCTTGACCAAAAAAACCTTTCATCTGACTCTTTGTGGGTAATTGATATAAGAATTAGATTTTTGTGCATCTTCTTTATTAAAGAAAAAAAGATGTATTTTACTAAAAACAATAAAAGGTCATATCCCATGGCTATGTTGCATATTGATCTGTTCAGAAAGTTTCACTTAGGCTTATCTTTTTTGGAAATGTATTTAAAAATTTTAAGCTCACCCAGAAGTGGAGAAAAAGATACAAGTATCATAAAGTCTCATTTGCCCATTATCCAGCTTAAACAGTTGCCAGCAGTTTGTTAATCTTACTTCATCTGTCCCCTCGTTTTGAAGGTGCCAGTGTCAGATGTTATTTCATCCATATACTTCAGTATCTCTAGAAGGAAGCTAAGCTGTTTAAAAAAAAAAAGAAATTAACCACAATACCACTGTCACTGCTTACTAGACTTAAAAGTGACAATTCCTTGGTATTGTCTAACATCCAGCTCATATTCAGATTTCCCTGCCTTTCTCAAAGATATTTCAAATTTTTATAATCTTTGTTTTCAGTCAGAGTTGAAATAAGGATTACATTGGTTATAATTAATCTGTGACTGTTGTTTTTCTTGCCTCTCTTTTCCAATTGTCTTATTGAAGAAATCAGGTTATTTACAACCTGAATTTGGCTGATTGCGCCTCTTGATTTCATTTAACTGGTTCCTTTTCCTTTTTGGCTCCCGGTGCCCTAATCTCTCCCTCCTTGTTGGCATCCTTTATTGATTGATAGGTTGATTGATACATTCCACTGTTTGTTTAATGATATAAGCACATAAATATACAGTTCTACACATACCTCCCCCCACCCTGCCTCACTCACATAGAGGAACCATACGGTAAGGAGCATTCTACACTCATTTCCCCACTTTTTGTCCTGGAAGTTATTCTCTGTCAGTACACAGAGATTTTACTCATCCCCAGGCCTCCTCCCCCTTTTAACAGCTATCTAGTACTCCATTGTGTAGATATAATGTAGCTTTTCATGATTTTTTGTTTTTGGAGGC